GAAATCTGCCATCTTTTACCAATTTTAAAACTTCAATTAAGAGAATATTTTGTAAAAAAAATGTCCGAAAATTTTCGAAGTCGGTGCTAGGTACCCTTCAGTTTTACAAACAAGATTTCGGTTAGGTAATAGTAATTTAAATGATGATCTTTTCCGTCATAATTGTATACCATCTTCAACTTGTGTGTGCAGATACCATCGTGAAACTACTGAACATAATTTGTTGCATTGCCCGCTTTGGGATACTTGCTATTTAATTTAATTACTACTGTTGCAGAATGTCTTGGGAATTATTGGTTCAACTCTAATAGAACTGAAACTTTCATTTTTGCTTTCTCGATGTAATAATGTTGATTGATTGTTTTTCGTACAAAGACTGTACAAATATTTAAAATTGATACATCTCGTTTCTCAGTTTGTAAATAATGTAAAAAAGAAATATTGTAAGTAGCTGTTTCACTGTAAAGCCTGGTTCACACGCTGAAATAAGCATAAGCATAAGTAAGTGGAACCTTTGATGTAAGCATAAGAAGAACGCAACATTTGTTATTCTTATGTTATGCTTATGCTTACATCAAAGGTTACGCTGCTTATGCTTATTTCATTGTGTGAACCAGGCTTAACAAGCTGTCTGAGGTGCTACACAATTCTCGATGTTTGTGTTTCTGAGGGCTTGTTGCAGTATGTAATTAACATGTTTCAATTAAAGCAATGAGCTGATTGTGATATATTTATAATATTCTGTGATTCTTGTATGTTGCTTCAATATGTAAATCTTTATTTTTGTGCAAGAGCCCCCTGTTTGCTCTTCGGGCAATTGCGCCAAATAAATATGTTTAAAATAATTGTGTTGAGCCTATTTTAGTTATCTTTGTGATTTTATTGAGTATTCTACAAAATCTACTATTAAAGTCTAAACACGATATGACAAACACTCAAAGGAACAAATACAAATACAACAACTGACAAACAGAACCCCAACTATATAACAACATAAGCACAAATTGTAGAAGACCCAATTAAAACATGAATGAGACACAAAGTCCCATGCAAGGTAACCTGAAGTTCAGGCCCTAATCATAGAATAGGGCCTGACACAAAACCTATCTAAACTGTGGGATTCCCGTCCATCTGGTGGACAGGAAATCTGATTGGTTGATCAGCATCATGAAGGATTTTGATTGGTTGCAAATTCACATAAACAACAGTTTTAAAAATAGCTCGGTCAAGGGCTCAAGGCGACAATTAATATAAAGGTCAAACAGAACTGACTAATTAAATCTTTGTTTGCTGTTCGGTTAAATAGAGAAACTGACTCTTAATTATATAAAAGTACCTTGAATTTTTAAGTTTAATTAAAAAGCAAAATGCACACTCGCGGACATGTTCATGGCCTTTCATGAGAATATAAATTTTTTGTGTAACGAAATCTACAACACTTGTCAATCATATTGCATGTTGTGTCTAAAAATAACATGTGGGCATCCCACGGTCTAGACAGGTTTTGTGTCAGGCCCTATTTCAAATTAGGGCTTGAACTTCGGGTTACATGCAAGGTGCTCACCGTTACAATACAACATATAACAGATTCTACAATGTCAATGTTCAAAGACTGACAAGAAATAAACAGTACAGTATTTAAATTAGAAATTGTGGCAAGAGCAGTCAGATACTAATGTCCACGTGCATGACATTGTCTATGTCAAATTGTGCCTCTAAACAGTGTTTTTACGTGTCCTTAATGTTTCTTTTTAAAGAGGAGAAGCTGGCGAAGCTGGTTGGAGGAAGTATTTTACAGGTGTAGTTCCATATTGTAACAATGCAGTTGAAGTACGATGCTTGGAAAGTACTTGATTTGCAGGATGGAGTTTTGAGAGTGCGCGTAGGATTTTGGCTGAGCCTTGAATGACCATTGTTCACAAACAAAACAAATGTACACACATCGAGATTGATATTTCCATAAAGTGTCTTGAAGAAAAACACCAAATCGGTTAATTTCTCTTTCATAACAAAGGGGAAGTAAGTTTGAGGGTTGTTAGTTGCTGTTTATAGGTAATCTCTCCTCCCTTCAATTTCAGTATCCAAGCAGTAGCTCTTCTCTGGATATACAGATTAGTTTGGCGGTATTGGGAGACCAGACCTCAGTAGCCTAGCTTAGCTGAGACCTAACAATCAGCAAGTACAGCGTCCGCCTCACGGTTGTGTTAATCAAGAGGGGACAAATTTTTTTCAGACGTCCAAGCTTCTTGTTCCCTTTTGCAGTGATGGTGAAAATATGGTCATTCTGTGAAAGGTTGCTATTAATGCAAACACCAGATCTTTCTCTACACACTGTACTGCTTTCAAGTTCATTTGGTAGGCAATACTTCAATGGAGACCTTTTCTTGTGATTGTCAGCACCTTACACTTGGATGAGTTGAAATCAAGATTGTTGTCATTGCTCCAGCACTCAAGATTGGTTAGTGCTTGTTGTACTTTTTCACAATCCGCTATCAATCGAATCAAATTGTACACTTTGGTGTTGTCTGCATACAGGGCTGCCATTTTCTTGTTGGGTAAGATGTCAGGAAGGTCATTAATAAAGATCACAAAGAGAACAGGTCCAAGGATACTTCCTTGCAGCACACCAGATGTTATGGGTGCTCAATGTGATGCAGCTGCATCAATAACCACTCCCTGACAATGGCCATTGAGGTAATCAGCAAATCATTTATACAACTGGCCTCTCACAGTGTATGATTTTAACTTCTGCAGTAAAATTTGGTGGTCGACAGAGTCAAAAGCTTTGATGAAATCTAAATAGACAATGTCAGTTTGGATATTTTTGTTGAGGAACAGATAAGAGCTATGGGACGCACGATTGTTGTCTTAGAAAGCTATGTTGTGATTCTGTGATCAGGTGTCTAATATGGTCTTACAATCAGAGGCACACACAACAAAACTTTTCCAAGGATGGGCTGCAACGAAATCGATCTGTAATTCTCGGCTGGTTCTATACATTCCTTTTTATGAACAGGAGTGACATTAGCAGATTTCCACTCAGATGGGATATGACCAATATGCAGAGAATAGTTGAACAGTTCACAGATGCTTGGTACATCAGAAGTCAAGATGGAATACCGTTGGGGCCGGTTGCTTTCAAAGTATCAAGGTAGCTCAAACATTGTGAAACTTCATCAACATTAAGCATTATCTCGGAAATTTGTCCCTCTGATTCCAAAGGGTCTTGGTAATCACTAGGAGCTGAACAGGTTGAGGGTGGATGGAATACTGAAGAAAAGTAAGAGTTGAAAAGTGTCGCCTTTTCCTTGGCCGTTTTTGCTGTAACACCATTGTAGGTAATCTCATTGTTTTGACGTTTGCTGTGATGTAGGATGGTTTTGTGGTAGGACCAGAACTTTCTATTTTAGAAAGGTATTCTCAGTGTTAGCATCTGATTAAGTACTTTATTCGTTCAGTAAGACCTCGTAGTTGTATTGTTCATATGATATTTTTCAGTGCTTTGTATTTTCTGCTGATTAAATTGCATACTTCTTTATCAACCCTCATTTGCACATACCTCTTCACTGCAGCCAGGAAAGCATATTTCCATTGTTGCCAGCAGTCATCAATATTATTTGTTGGAACAATACTTATAGGAAACTGTGTAAGATAATTGCACAGACCATTGAAGTTTCTGTTTTTGTAATCGAAAACCTGGTGTTTAACTCGCGTGGCTCTTTTCAACTTAAGATGAATTTCAAGTTCCATGATGTAATGATCTGTTGGAAAACCACAAGACTCAGGATGGGATAGAGAAATGTCACCAATGATGTTGGGACTGTTACACAACAGCAGGTTGAGTATATTGCCAGCGATGTGTGTAGGGTTAAGTTTGTATTGTTTGAGAAAGTTGTCTTCAACTATTTTGCAGAAAGCGTCATTCTCAGGAGAACTTCCGATGTTAATGGAGGTATGTTGAGCAGAGGACCATTTAACAGATGGTAGATCAAAGTCTCCTATCACTACAACGCGGCTGGATTCCGAATTTGGGAGTTATTTAATGACCGAAGAACATCAGGTGTGGAGTTTGGAGGACAGTAGAACGTATAAAGTATGACTGGTTTGCTGTTTGTTTTCATCAGTTCAATAACGACAATTTCGGTGTTTTCAGGTCATGTCGACAAGTGACTTGTATACCAGTCTTCACAGCAACAAGAACACCACCATCAATTCTGCCAGCTCTGTCACATCAGAAGACAGATCCATAATTAGGCAAGATCTCCCTGCTTAAGATTGAATTGTTTAACCAAGTCTTGCATACACATACAACATTGTAATTACCACTATATGTCGATTGTTGCAGCAACAAGATTTTACAAATTTTTACCGAGTTGTCTTCAGTTGGATGAACAAGTGCTTTTCGACTTCTAGAATTTAAATACAGTACTTTTAACCTGAGAGTTGTTGAATTGCAGACAGGTCCAGGATTAGTTGCTATATCACCAGCGAGGCATGCACAAGCTTGCTTGTATAAAATATCAAAAAATGCAAACATTTCGTTGACATGCTTAAGAGCAGATGTCAGCAAAATTCATACAACAGACGGCAACACACTGAAAATCGATTTTGCTCATACTTTCATGTTTTGTCGTGTATTATATCCTAATCATCCTGGCATAGTTTATTTGTCAAAATACGATTTTGTTTTTGAGAAATATTTATTTTGGTCGGAGTGGGTAAATATATTAATTAGAAGTGCTCCAGATTGACCAACTTAATCGACTTCGTGTAACGAAAATATTTAACCGTTGGATTCGAAAATATGATATTTGTTTTTGTTGTCATATACACTTGACTCACTATCATTATGAAAGATTTGAGTTTTGTACTAAAATAATGACTAATTTTTATATTCACCATACTTTTTCTGACTGTGAAAGTAGCCTCAAAATAACGGTCATTTAAACTATGTGCGATACATCTAAATCCAACAAGTTAGCTGATGTAAATATCTGCTTGTGTATTTGATTTATATTCACGAGACGTGATGTCAAAGTTACGTAAAATTCGAATGTTTACTACAATGAAATGTACATAGCGGCATCTGGTGAGCTATAAATTCATTCGTGTTTACTGATAAATAACATTCTTAAAACTCAAATATTGGCTCTAACCTTGTAAGATGTTGAAGTTGAAGAGATTGACAGTTGTTTCATCCATTATTTGCCAGGTTAAAGCAATAAAGACATTGTTTGCGGTGTCACTTTTATACGACTACCATAATGGTTTGTATAGCGTGACCAACAGAATTGATATGAAATATTGAATTCAGTGCAGTTCCTTAACATTTCGCTTCTGGTAAAATTCTTGTGATTGTATTCTTTTTATCGCCAGTCATTGTTTTAAATCAGAAGTGAACCATTTTTGTCACAAAGTAACTTAATAGTGATGACAATGATATTTTGTTTTTATATTAATACAATGTTATGAATAATTGACTATGCAGTAATGGATACATGCTTCCAGATGGCGGATACGAGATTGCGGATACGAGATAGCGGATAGCGGATATCAGATAATACTTTCTATTAAGTCTACTGAGCGGTTTCAGTTGATAATTTTATGATGGATAAAACCGACAATGTATCTACGGCTACGCGTAATATATTAGTAAACTTATAAATTGCATGTACACTTCTCAACAAAGTTTAAGACGAGGTCAACATATGGCTTCTTAATCTTGCGTTTGCCTTTGATGCCAGAAGTGTAGTTCGAAAAAGGAACAGATATCTTGTAGCACCAAAATTGAAAATCTGTCGAGCTTATTGCGTGAAGCATAGTCACAAAGGTTATATGTGTCATACATTATTGGATGGCGAGAGGAAACTGCATTAAGGACCTTAAAATGTAAATCTTGTATTAATTCTTCTGTACTGACTTCTTGTTTATCCTTCTGGGATGTAGTTGAAAATCCAGCGGCAGCCTTCCTCCTCTTTGCTGTTTCACGCGAATAGAAACTAGCGATTTGCTGTGCCGTCAGATATTCGGTAGCTGTGAACATAGGCTCGCCACTGGAGAGCCTTGCCCTCTTCATTGTTCTTGAAACGGACACAGGATCAGCCTTTTGACCAGTCTGCTCACCGACTTGATAAGTATCTAGTAAATATGTCTTTTGTTTCTCCGATAGTCGTTTGTACTCCTTGGTACTTTTAAGGGCCCAGCCCATATTCAGAATCGGCGTAGCTACAACGTCAACTGGAATGTCTTCACAGATCTGTGGTACATCACAAGTTGCTCCTTGTTCAAGCTTTGATGCGTACATAATTATTGCCTTATCAAATAAAGTTTCGCACTCTAGAGCGTACTTGTGCTTCCCACAATCGAGGTGGTTTTGAAGTGAGGAATGTCGCTGAAAGGACATGACACAGCCTTCCTCAGAACAAAAGAATAAGCTCTCAGCATTTTGATTGTCTTCATCTGTAGCGTCCTCTCCTGCAGAGTCAAACTGTTCAGGCACGGTGGTTTCTTTGGATTGTCGTCTTGTCATGATGTTAGTAAATGAAACTGAAGCGGTATGGGCGCTCACTTCATGTGGATCTTTGAGTGTTGGTGGAAGATAATCTTTGGGCACGCTAAAATCGTCCCATAACTTAAGTTTGCCAGGTCCAATACCATAGGCTCTCCATACTCTGATCCCTTCTTTGCTGAATTTCATGTTGTTAAGAAGCTGATCCCTTCCCATTTTACAGGAAAAGGCACTTCATCACCTTGTGGGCCACACAACGTTACTCGTACCCCCGATACACCGCCTTGTGATTCTATGGCTGCCACCATTTGCTCCGCTGTCTCGATGTCATGACCCTCATTGAGATGAATTCTCATTTTGGTTTTAATTGTAGCCGCTTTGCGGTCGCAAGACCCTTTTCCTCCCTGTGGGTCAGAGAAATCCATGGATAGCTTCATGTTGTGCTTGGTAGCGATTTGGTTGACAGAGAGCAGTACTTCAGCGGAGTGGTAACACCCGGCGTTATCTTGTCTGAGAAAGAGAGTTGTTATTTCTGGAGCAATTGACTTTATTTGATGGAAAACATCGTCAATGATGGCTAACACTGTGCTGCTGACCTGGGTGCACTTTTCAAATAGATGTACAAAAGTAACCATTTCCAAATTTCCCTCATCGCTTCTTCGCATAGCCACTGTTATGTGCCAGCTGATACCACGTTTTCCAAACCAATCACTCTGTGCCTCGCGGAACTTTCTGGGCAGAAACTTCATGGCCCAATCGAGAACCAAGAGTGCAGAGTGTGGACCAAGATTTTTTAAGATATCTAACCTTGCTTGGTCTTGATTAATGGAGCGGAGAATATGAGCTTTCCATGCGCCGATTTTGTTCTTTGATTGCTCGAATTGATACTTTATTTGGTGTTTTTCAGCTCCATCCTCAAGGCTTTCTAACACTGAACTCACCTATTCATGTAAACATTCAAGAACATGTCATTAGCATCATGATTATCGTGATCACCTGATCACCATGACGACCATCATCATTTTCATTACTACCTTAAGGATGGATTCATAATTACAAATAAATTGTCCACAACCTTGACAAACACTAAAACTCAAATTACCTAATAATATTTACAAAATTGCTATTATTACCTCAGCGACCACATTGGGGAATATATTACAACGGTCACACTGTTCTTTATGGTCATGATCACATTGGGAAATGTAGTCTTTGTCGCCGGGACAGCTCAGAGCGTACTTCTTACAGTGATCAGGTACTGAGGAATCCTGGGAAATGTGAACCTGTCCAGAGAGAAAACGTATGAAGTGAGCCGATCCGTCGTGTGTGTGTGTGGGGTGGAGGTTGGGGGTGGGCGGGAGTAAAGCATATATAATTTATAAGATATAAAATGTTTATTGTTCTCGTAATTTATCGTCTAACTTGTAGTTGTTTAATGTTACCCTTACAATATTATTAATTAATATCCAATATTATTCTATCTATTATCCCTGTTATTAAAAACCAAACAGTAGTTCCGATTAATGATTATAGTAAATACCTCCGTGCTTTGTTCGAAATCATTATTAATAAGCCGTGATGCAAACCAAATTCTCCACCCTCAGGGAATTCCGAAAGCAGGAGAGTTGCCGAAAAAAGTATCGAATATGACAAGATCTTAGTGTGAAGGGTACATTACCTTGTAATCAGTTTTTAGATATCTTTTTGCCTTTTTCAACTTCTCATTCTGCTTCTTTGCCCACGTGAGTCCTTTCCCACATTCATCTCCTAGCTTCTCAATGATCTCTTGCAGTTCTTCAAACGCTTTAGCTCCTTCTGCAGAAAAGTTGTCGAGACCCTGTAGCGATTTTCGTACGGACGCTGAACACACATTCAATATACGGCATAAGGTACTTCTACTCATTGGAGAAAAGCCAGACTCGTTGCAATGACTTTCGTACTGTTTCACAATTTGCGCAGGAATCATTGTTCTGATGATATTTGGTACTTTTACTTGAACGTTTGAGGACAGTTTAAGGGACTTCTCTCCAAAGGGTAAATCTTGAACGATATGCGCACTTGTAATGAAAGACAGGAAGTGGTCAAGTTTTTCCGGTAGAACATGTATCCGAGCAGATGAATGGACAGGAACAACTGAACCTCTACCATGCAAAAGACGATGATGTCTGGCAATATTATAACGATACCTGGATATGTCTGGTATCCATTTTTGTAGATCTTTGTACGATACCTTATCTGCAATGATCGACAGAATCTATCTGTGGGTACTCCAATGACTGGCATTGTTGTAGCATTCAGTAAGTGCTTCCGATAGGGTGGAATCGACATTGTTGCAAGCTCTGTGGTAATTTACTACTATATCTAGAAGATGTTGGTGGTCGTCATCAACTATTACAAAATATAAACCGCATGGCTGATTATCTAATCGGTTGATATACTGAAAGATTACCGTGTTTGTGTACATGGGCGTACCGGAAGGAAAAAATTAGGGGGCGGAAAGAAATTTGCCAGACTTTTTCTGATTTTTCCCGACCAAAAAAATTTTTCGGAACAATTAATTTTGGTGACCCTCCCCCCCACCCGTCGCCAAAAAAATTTCGGTCAGTGTACCATTTTAGGGGTCCATTTTAGGGGTTTATTTATTTATATAATAACCCAATATTGCCTAGTCTACGGTGTAGACCCCAGCAGAAACACGCTTCGTGAGGGGTCTACGAATAAACGAAGAAAAGCTTGCCAGGCCTACGTCATATCCGTTTTACGTTTTGGGTAAATTAACTTCAATTTATTCAAATTTCTGAAGCGTGCGTGAATGTAAATTTTCATTTGGCGCTTATTAAAGGCATTAAAATGTTCCATGGCGGGCTTTGTCCAATACAAATGTGTTCTTTGCTTCAAAGTTCCGTCGAATAAAATTCTTGGACAGCAAGGACACTGTACCTAAGGAGTTAGACGACCTTTCCTTCTCCATTTCACCTACAAATAGCATTTGTAAAGCATGCCTGGCCGCCTGGCATTGGTAAACAAACGGTGAAACGGAAAAGCTTCAAAGAACGGTTTAATATGTGAGCTAGAGCCTAGACAATACGATAACCAACGTGCACGAAACAGCATTAAACGCTATTGATAAATGTCGTGAACCAACTAGGATTCGAGCCGGCTACATTTAATAGTGTGAAATCGACTTTGTCTTCGACTTCGGAAATTAGATATCTTGACAAGTTTTAAGCCTTCAAGCCTAACAGTTTGTACGAATGACAAGAACTTTTTAGTCCGTTCGAACATGTGTTTAATGGTTGGGTATATATATATATATATATATATAGTCAGGGTATATTTTATTGCACAAAGCCCGCCATGGAACATTTTAATAAGCGCCAAACGAAAATTTACATTCACGCACGCTTCAGAGATTTGAATAAATTGAAGTTAATTTACCCAAAACGGATATGACGTAGCCGGACAAGCTTTTCTTCGTTTATTTGTAGACCCCTCACGAAACGTGTTTCTGCTGGGGTCTACACCGTAGGCTAATATTGCCCGACTGTGAAGTGAATATTGCCCAACTGGCTTTGTTTGCCCAACAAACTGGGGTTATTATTAAGAGAGATTTTATTGCTTTGACTACTTTTTGCCCGACTTTTGTTGAACATTTGCCCGACTTTGTAATCTTTTTGGGGGCAGCTGCCCCCTGCCCCCCCCCCCGTCCCATACGCCTATGTTTGTAAGTGGATAAAGACATGCTCACACACAGTTGTTCAAATATACTTATAAAAAATACTTTTGGTGCTGAATAGCACTCATAAGCAAGAGAATCACTAAGGCCTAAAAAAATACCTGTGGTTCCGGTTTCATATCGCAAAAAAAATTAGGGTCGGTAGGTCGGAAATAATTTTTTTTCAATATTTTTTCATGGTTTTTTCAACAATTAGTGTGACAACGTACAGACGCCATTTTGGCAGCAGCCCGCAATCACCCGAAGAAAATAGGGTCGCACGGTCAATTAGCCTTTCTCACGCTGACGAATATCCGCCATTTTTGGGTGGCATCTAATTCTCGTCAACCAATGCAGACAATTAAAACAATGTGAAAAGCAATTTTTTAAAATAAACTAACCATTTACCGAGCAAATTTACCATCATTCGTCCAAAAAAACTATAAAACGTCGCTGTTATGTGGACTTATCTCGCAGACTTCGGCTGAAAAGCCACCGAAAAATGGCGGCATGAGAAAGGCTAATTGCGTTGAAAAAATAATAGGGTCGGCAGAAAAAAATAGGGTCGGTCGGGAACCGGAACCACAGGTGATTTTTTAGGCCTATGCTGCTTGCTTTCCTTGTGTTCTACAGCTCCCATGCAGCGTGTGTCAATCAGCTAGCACACTCACAATGTGAAGATTTTCAAAATCCATTACGACATCTGATACATCCTCATTTAGCTCCCGATTCAACTTCTTTTCGCAATTAGTGCACATTCCTAAAATGAAAAATACAGCATATTTGTGCTCAGTGTTGGTTATGTTTCACAATTCAGATCACTGAATATATGACTTTTGCGGATACTCACCAGAGCCAACTTGGATAAGTTTCCCGCTGGCATTTACTGCGGATTCAGGTTGAGTGTTTAATGACGTCATGACCGCATGATCGTTACAACAACTGAACGCAGTTGTTGCCATGCATGCAATTATATGTTGCTATGCACAAAATTATATTCAGCTAGCTGTCAAATTACAATACATATGCACTCTATAACCTTCACTTTTGCATTTATTTTCGATTTCCATTACAAATATTTATAACACTTGAAAGATTATATATATACATAGCACTTTTAACAAAAATACTACTGCTAAATTCTCTAAATTCAAATAAACGCGGAAAAAAATACAATCTACAAGAACCGTTACAATAGCAAAAAAATGTGGCGCGTAAACGAGCACGGTCGACTTTATGCTCAAGGAAAACCTTTATCTCATGACTTGAGATTGTTGATTATCAATAAAATCATTAATAATGGGGGTAATCGTGCAACAGGCATTTTCCATGGAAAATACACTGATATTGCTCGGCAGTTAGGGGTATCTTCAGCTGTTGTATCTAATATTTGGAAGCGCTACTGCGAAGATGGTAGCATTAGTCCGAAGAAAAATACAGGTGGCAACCCAAGCCACCTTTCTCAAGGGGACCTACAATACGTTGAATTTCTGAAACAGCAGAAACCTACAATTACATACGATGAAATCATGCAACAATTGCACGAATTTGGCGATTTGCCATACGGTACAACTTCAACGACAGCATTGTCCGAGGCAGTTCGACATCGGCTGCCTAGTGGTAAAGAGTACAGCTTTAAAAAGTTAAATATTGTCGCCCAAGAACGGTTTACGCTACAAAATATGGCATACACACAGCTTTTCATAGATTACCTACATGAGAAGGATCCATACACGCTAAAATTTTTCGATGAGTGTGGTCTCAAACTTCCTCAACACGCCTCGCGAACTTACGTACACGCTCCTATTGGGGAACGAGCAATTGAACTTCAACGATACGCGGAAACGCCTAACACAACAGTCAATCTTATGTGTTCTTTGACAGGGGTCGATTACGCCAACACAGTAAATGGTAGTGCAGATACTATAGATTTTCTTAGATTTTTTGAAGAAGCTTATCATTCAGAAAACCCAAGAACTGCAAGACCTGTTTTAGAGCCAGGTTCAGTTATAGTGATGGACAACTGTGCCACCCATCATAACCAAGGCGGTCAAATTCTACAAGAATTTCTGAACGACCTGGAGATTGAACTAGTATACATGCCTGCATATTCTCCGGACTTTAACCCTGCGGAATATGTGTTCGGTAAGATGCGTACCGTCATGAAATACAGCTTCGGTAATAACACTGACATTACTGTCGCTCAATGTATCCAAAACATGTACACTTCTCTGGAGTTAATTTCCCCAAGTGACATGAAAGGATTTTTTGAAGTCACTGGTTACCTACAAGTTTAAGTGCAATGCATGCTGTATATACTTTATCTCAAACACATATTAAATAATGACAGTTGTCATTTTCTGTGATATGCCGCAAATATTTCACTTATTTAAATTATGATTAATATCAAATATATGTACAGTATAAACTAGATACTGAAGAAATGTTTTTGTAGTGTCATAGTATAAGTATTCAACTAAACCAGAGTTCAAAACTATACAAACCCTAACAAAATTAAAACAACGACAATATATAATAACTTGTGCTATACCAAAATGAGTGACTTTCATAAACAAGTTTGTACTAAAAATAGAAATGTGTATAGCTACCTTTTGAAGAAAACTATAAAGTTCGTTATATTTTTATACAATTTTACTCTTTGCTCTTTCGTTTCTGCAGGTGTAATAACGCTGCCGCCGCTTCTGCTTCCATCTGTAGGTATTCTTCGTCAGATGTTGCACCCTGAGTTTCATCAATATCATGTTGAAAGACTTCGACTGCTGTGCTCGAACTTTCGTTTTCGGTAGTTGATTCCATTTCCGCCTGCTGTAGTTGCAAGGCTAAGCGAAAATCGTCTTTTTCTTGACTATGTACAAATATAGGGTTACTGCTTGCGGCACTGTTTTGCCTCTTTGTTGGAAATTGGATAGAAAATTGTTCTTCAAGAACTCTCTTTTGGGGGGCCATCCTGTGATCAGTATCTCGCCGTGTTTGAGTTGATGTAGCCGAGGATGTAGCCGTGTGTGTCATTTGTGATTCTTTGTTTACAACCGAATGTAAAAGACTCAGAACGTTTTTCTGAGTTGGGAGAGTACCCTTTAATTTGCTTTGCAAAAGGGCAACATCCTTGTTCAAAATTAGCCAATTTCTGCGCCCACAAGATGTACTATATCTGTGAGGCTGTTCATTTAGAATGATGTCCTCGATTCTTTTATCTGCAGAGTTATTTATTCTTTCCACGGCCGATTTCGCACTTTCTAGATCATGTTTTGCTTTTCGTAACTGGCTTTCTAGTTTTTCCATGTCTTTGTTAATGTTTTCTCGATTAGATTTTTGATTCGCGTGCTTTGAAAGTATCCCGCACGAAAATGCAGATTTGCATGGACTGAAATGGCATGATTTTCTGGTGTGTCCTAATTTTAAATGGCAATTTCCACATGTTGAAAGATGCCCAGTGGTTTGCATGTTTGCCCTTTCAAGCTTGTTATCAAGGTCTTTGAGTTCAATTTTTTTCACCGTTAATTCTTTGTCAATGTTTTGAATAATTTCCTCGTATCTTTTCACGTGTCGTTCTAAAGGTAAAACTGGTGGTTCAGGACTTGAATTTATAGTGGTACTACAACCAAGATTATAGCTGTTGTCATTCACAGACAAAATATTTAGGTTTCCTTGTTTATCAACGTTGTTTTGTGCGACGTTTTGAGATACATATAGACAACGTCTGCTTCGAGATTGTCCTGTCAAATGTTGGCTTTTACACGTACTGTTCGATGACTGTGTTGGCTGTGCAGGTAGCGGTGACTCATTTTCGGCAATACCAATGACGATTGTTTTTAGTCCTTTATTTACCAGTCGTGCTATCTGGGACTGAAAGTACTTGTGAGACAAGTCAATTTCTGGTCGATTATCTTCCGCCAAAATCATTCGCAACGATTCGGCTGGCAGCAGCATCTTCGCAATATGAGGAACTTCTTGTAACATTCGAGAGCAAAATCCATCGTAACTGTAAGACAATAACTCATCCGTACTAATAAATAACGGGGTAACCCTTCGCTTAGAATAATAAAGGTAGTCAAACTGAATTTCGATTATGTTATCCATCTCTGACAAATGCGAACACGTGTAAACAACACAAGAACAAAATGCCTTCCCGCCCTTAGCAACATATAATTTGCCACTTGACAACACCCGCGTTTATCTGTTGGAACGTTCACCTGATCGTGACGTCATTAAACACTCAACCTGAATCCGCAGTATCAAGAGTTGATTTAATACATGGACTTGAATGTACTTTCTTTCGAGAAGATACATTAGCAGAATGGGATACGTGGCTAAATGGTATACTCGCTTACTAATGGACCATTCCCCAATTAACCAAAATTTTGATCTCAACAAGTCTAGACAAAATTCCTTCATAGCATGAAAGAGCATCACAAAATTAGTAATATTACAAAGTTTCGTTGCGAAATGTTGTAAAATGCGGATAATATAGCCTTGCGAAATTTGCAATTTTCAGTCATTTTAGATTACAAACGGGAAATGGTTACCACTTTTCCAAAATTTTGATCTTAACTAGCCTGAACAAAAATTTCATCACAGCTTGAAAGAGCATCACAAAATTAGTAATATTCCAAAGTTTCGTTGCAAAATGTTGTAAAATGCGGATAATATAGCCTTGCAAGTTTGTAATTTTCAGTCACTGTTTTGTATTACGCACAGAAGTGGTAACCATTTCCCGTTTGTAATCTAAAATGGCTGAAAATTGCAAACTTCGCAAGGCTATATTATCCGCATTTTACAACATTTTGCAACGAAACTTTGGAATGTTACTAATTTTGTGATGCTCTTTCAAGCTGTGATGAAATTTTTGTCCAGACTTGTTGAGTTCAAAATTTTGGTTAATCGGGGAATGGTCCATTTACATATATTTTTTGTTTTAATTTACATCTATAGTTAATTTTGGCATATTACTTCAGCAGCCGGGCTGATAATTTTCCAGGTATAATAAGCCCCTAAAAATTCCCATTTGAAATATCTAAACAGATTACTCACGTTGTAAACCAGAATACAGCAGATCATGACCACCGAGACAGTTTGAGTTGAAAACTTAAAATCTAAGAAAAAGTTGGGAAAAACTTATTTTGGGAAAAGCGATTTTTACACCTACTGTAACAAGAGTCCGACGACATATGTTTGCTTCAAGTATATTGCCTGCCTGCCTGCCTGCCTGCCTGCCTGCCTGCCTGCCTGCCTGCCTGCCTGCCTGCCTGCCTGCCTGCCTGCCTGCCTGTAATATAATATTAACATTTGTTGTCCAGATCAAAAGCAAGCAATCCATAATATAAACCTAACATGCATCATTGTTTCTTGTATTTAAGAAAAGGAGTGAGAAAAGGCGCGCGCAGACCGAGCAAGGCCTACGCACGTAAAAACGCACAATTTGTAACAAAATTGCAGCAGACTTGCAGCAGACTTGCAGCAATGTTGTTCAGCAGACTTGCAGCAATGTTGTTCCAACAACTTGTTCCAACACTTGTTCCAATGCTGTTCCAACAACTTGTTCCAACACTTGTTCCAAAGTTGTTCCAACAACCTGTCAACAGGATGTGTTCGCACTGCTTGTTCCCAGCTTGTTGACAAGTTGTCAATAGCTTGTCGACAACCTTTTACAAGGTTGTTGAGCTCGACAGACTTGTTACAATGCTGTGCTGAGTGGTTATATTACTACCTTAAAAAACAAGCAGAAACTCGACGTTTCGAGCGAAGGGCCTTCGCTTTGACGAAGGGCCTTCACTCAAAACGTCGAGTTTCTGCTTGTTTTTTAAGGTAGTAATATAACCACTCAGCACAGCATTTTCACATTGGTACTACCTACACTGGTACAGACAGTTTTAGACTTGTTACAAGTTGTTCCAACAACTTGTTATCGTCCTGCAATTCAACAATTTGTCAACAAGTCGTGAGTGACAACCTTGTAGCAACTTGATCAAATGACAGCATTGTTACAACTTGTTGACACGCTTGTTACAAGCCTGTTGCGAACACACCTTTCTGAATTCTGACAAATTGCAAGATTTTTACGTGTGTAGCTGGTGCTTCTGCTCACGAAACGAACTGGACCAAGGCTTCTCAAAATTCCACCTAACTGGCCCTTATGCTGACTTGATACACGTTTTCCGGTCCGATCAGTTTCAACTCCAAAAGTTTTGTATCCATTTTGATTTACAAGTAAAAACCTCATGCGCTATAGAGTATATTATAGAGCTACAGTATTACTGTCGTTCCAATTGAAGTGTTGCTCAAATATTGATTCAATACATTACCTCGGGCTGACCAATTCATTTGATCAAGTTCCTCGAGATATACACTTTAGTGATGGGCGATACCGAGTACTCGGTATTCGATACCAGCGATACCACAAACAGCGGTATCGGTATCGATTACTGACGTGGTATCGTTCGATACTTGCACCCTTTTTTAAACGACTTGTTTAATTTCACTTCTTGGTTGAATAAGACTTAATAAACCACTAAAATAACTCTTAATATTCCAAATGTGGTGCGCCAAGTCATGTATAGAAAATATTTATTGCGTTTCGGGCTTTTGGTTTACTTATAGCTTTATTTAGATTACATACAGTAATGTAAAATGTTTTTCCGCTGACCGGCAGGTATCTAAAGTAGCCGATACTAGAAATTTAAGTACTCACTTCCGGTATCGAAAATTGAAATTTTGTGTTCATTTTGGTATCGAAATAGGTATCGGTATCGGCCGATACCGATCCTAAAAGTATCGGTATCGGTATCGAATTAAAAATCCTGGTATCGCCCATCACTAATACACTTCCTGTGAAAGAGCCAATTCCAAGTATTTGATCATTTCTGGTCACTTCCTTTCTATTTATGATTGGTTAGTTGCACAAACAACAAAGGTGATTGGTGCATTCAAACTATTCAACAGGAAATTTACAATTATACTAGGAAGTGTATGAATATCTCGAGGAACTTGATGAAATGAATTGGTCAGCCCAAGGTAATGTATTGAATCAATATTTGAGCAACACTTCAATTGGAACGACAGTAAGTATTAATACAGTTATATATAGTCAACATTAATTTAGATGTTTAAGGTAGAATCCAATGGAACTTTTTTAAACCGTCCGAAATCTGTATCTGAAGCACTTACTTTTCTCGGGATTGTAAATTTTCCTCAAGTAGAACCCTATTCCTGAATATTGGCGGGTGAGTCTAAAAAAAGAGCGAAATATTTTATTAGTATATACAAATTGATAGACAAGTTGTTACAGGTCTGCAAACAAGTTGTTACAAATCTGTTCTCAAGTTGTGTTCGCACTGCTTGTTCCCAATTGTTGTAACAAGTTTATAGCAAGCTGTTGACAACTTGTAACAAGCTTTACGGCATTATCAGCCTTGTTACAAGGTTGTTCTATAACAAAGTCTGATACAATCATAATATAACGAGAATGTTACAAGGCTGACGACATAAGATTGTAACAATATTGTTATATCATGGTTGTATCAGACTTGCTGGAACAACCTTGCAACAAGTCGGATAGTATCAACAAGGTTGTTAAAAGTTTTTCCATACTTGTTGACAACTTGCGACAAGCAGTGCGAACACAACTTGTTGACGGCTTGTTGGCAGACTTGCTGCAAGATACAAGTAAAAATCTCACATCTTGTAACAAGTCTGCCAACAAACCGTCAACAAGATGTATTCGCACCGCTTGTCACAAGTTGTCAACAGGTTTGGAACAACTTGTTGACAACTTGTAACAACCTTGTCGAAATTATCAGACTTGTTGCAAGGTTGTTCTGACAAGTCCGTTACATGCATGCTTGGTAAAACAAGATTGTTACAACCTTGTGTTGACAGCCTTGTAACATCCTTGCTATATCATGGCTGTAACAAACTTGTTAGCACAGATTTGTAACAAGGCTGATAATGCCATCAAGCTTGTTACAAGTTGTTAACAGCTTGTTTCAAACTTGTTACAACAAACTTGGAACAAGCAGTGTGAACACAACTTGTTGACAGCTTGTGAACAGACTTGTAACAACTTGTTTGCAGAC